GGTGTGTGTGGGTGGGTGTCTGGGTGGGTGTGTGTGTGTGTGATGGGGAGGGGACCCAGATGTGTCCCCAGGGGAGGGATGTGATGGGAGGGGACCCAAACACCCGCTGGCTCCACCCGTGGGGACACTTAGGCTGGACCAGCTGGGCCGGGCAGGGAGAGCAGGACAGCTAGGGGTGGTCCCTTGTGTCCCCCCGTTCTTGTCCCCTTCCCCCAGCCCTGGGATGGGTGAGTGTCCCACGGCCACATGGGCACGCGGTGGCAGAGCCGCTGACTTCGGTGTCACCTGCGGGATGCCGAACACAGAGACACCTTCGTGGGGCCCGTCCAGGGTCCCCAGGGGGAGGAGAGGGGACGTTAGGAACACCCGGCCTCCCGCACATCCCCCCACCAGAGACCAGGAGGGGCAGGGAGGGGTGACAAAGTGGGGACAGTTCCCAAGCTGGGCTGTCCCCATCCCCGGCACCTCGCCCACGTGTCCTCCCTAACACGGAGCCAGGTTGGGGACAGGAAGAGACCCCCAACCTGTCCTCAGGGTCCCGGGTCCACCAGGACCTTCGTGTTGTCCTCAGGAAGGATCCCAGTGCAGAGCAATAGAGACATTGAGGAAAGGGTGGGGAAAGGGTGGAGATAATAAAAATAATTTTCCCCCCCCCACCCCCCGCTTCTCAGAAGCATCTGCTGGAGTTTTAAGGGATTTAAGGGAAAACAGAAACATTTAATAAACCTTTTTAAAATGTAAACCCCTATTTACTGAAAATTGCTTTAGAAACCAGAGCAGTGTGAGGTTTAATTTTTTTTCTTTTTTTTTTTTCCATTAAACCCCCGTTTTTTTTTCCCGCTTTCCCCTGCTTCCCACCCCCTCCCTGGCCCCTTTTCATCAGCCTTCACTCCCCATCCCTTTTCCTCCTCTTCCTCACACCTTGGAGGAGGCAGCAGGATGAGTCCCAGGGGCCGAGTTTTCCCTGCTGCTTAATTCCAGGCAGGAATTTTAAGTTGCTCCAATGGACTGTAAATATTTGGGCTAAGGCTGACAAGGAAAATTTAAATGCTTTGAGAGGGGAAAAAAAACCCCAAACGAAATCACCCAGATGAGGCAACAGGAACAGGTGGTTCAGGATCTCCTAAACTCCCTGGGACAGAGAGGAAATGGGGGACCTTAGAGCACCTTCCAGGACCTGAAGGGGCTACAGGAAAGCTGGGGAGGGACTTTTGACAAGAGCAGGGAGTGATGAGATGAGAGGGAACGGTTTCAACCTCAAGAGCTTGAGATGAGACATTACCCATCTTCATGGCCCTTTGCTGGGATCTCTCCAGTATATCCATGTCTGTGGTGTACTGGGGAGCCCAGAACCGGATTCAGCACTCCAGGGGTGGCCTCACCAGTGCTAAGCAGAGGCAAAAGGTCCCCTCCTTTGACCTCCTGGCCATGCTTTGCCTAATGAAGCTCAGAATCCCCTCAGCCTTCCTTGCAGCAAGGGCATGTTGTTGGCTCATGGTCAATTTGCTGCCCACCAGTCCCTTTTCTGTCAAGATGCTTTCCAGTTTGGTGACCTTTGCTACATGGTTTTGTTCCTCCCCAGCGGCAGGACTTTGAACTTCTCCTTATTGAACTTCATGATGTTCCTCTCTGATGGCTTCTCCAGGTCCCTCTGGCATTTCCACCCCTCTCAGCCCTGTGTCACCAGCAGCCTCCCAGAAGTTCTACCCTCAACCCATCAGTGACTTTGTCCCCAGTGCTGGGCAGGTTGGTGGCTGTGTGCAGAGGGTTGGGAGCCTGAGGGACCAGTTCCACCTTGGGAACAAGGTGGTTTTACCCACTTAAAAGCAGGACAACAGCTCAGAGCTCTGCTGGTGGCCCGAGCCATGGAGACTGCATGTTCCCCTGCATCCTGCTTGCATCCAGGCCACCAAATCCCCTTGGAGGTTTGGACCCAGATGTCCAAGCACCATTTGAGGTACTTCCAGCTCTTCCCCTTCTGCCTGTGCCTCAGTTTCCCTATCCCTGTTCCCCCGAGTCACAAAGCAGATTGCGATGGTTGGATTCCTCTTGGCTTTTCCATGGAGTGGAGAGAGGTCTCCAGCATGAGCAAAGGCTGCAGAGAAGCTCCTACGGGCAGGAGGAGGAGGGATACAGCTCTGCTGGGTTTGGGGAGCAGTTCCTATGGGAAAAGCCACCACAGAGCCCCCTCTCACCTTGCACCAGAGGGTGGTGGTGGGATGGGAGAGGCAGGTCAAGGTCCTTCTCCTGCCAAGCCCACCAGAGGATGCTGCAGCCCTGGAAGACCTCAAAGCCAATCCTCTCCCTCCTCTCCCTTCTCTTTCATCCATAGGGAAAAGTCCTGAGACAGGGAAGCAAGAGGTTTATCCCTAGGGAATCTCCCTGCAGAGCGTAGGTGATGGAACATGGAGCCACCATCCAGGGAGGTCCCCCAGGGGGACCTCCTCACCCTCACCCAGGGAAGGAGCCGAGGCCGTGCCGAGCTTTGTCCCAGCTTTTATTTCTCTCTCTCCAAGGGATGTGATTTAAGGATACAAATATACTTTGGCATGAGAACCAGACCCGGGGTGGGGTGGGGGGGGACACGACACCACGGATCCCACCGATGCCCAAGGACGAGAAAGATGCGAAGAGTGAAAAGAAATTCCCTGGAATCACCAACATTTCCCCCCCCTCCCAAGACTCCTTTCCCATAGATATTTATAGATTTCTATAGATATTATAATGTAATTTATAATAAATATCCTCTCTGGTATCTAACAGTATGTACAGGTTGTCAAGTATTAGAAGCAAATTTGGGGTTTTGTTTGTTTGTTTGTTTGTTTCTGATAAAGAAAAGAAAGAGATGGGCTGGGTGCCTCAGCTGTCCCCAGAGTCTTCCTGGTACCCCTCAAGAAGAGACTGGTGCATGTCCCAGTATCCCCAGGTGTCCCCAGGTGATGTGTTTGGGTCCTTTGGGACTTGGGGTGCTCCCCATGGGGCTGCCCCAGGGATGGAGAGGGGCAAGGAAAGAAGTTTTCCTTCCTGTTTAGCCATGATAGGGTGGCTGTCCTGGGGGTGACCCCTGGGATGTCCCCAGGGAAGCCACCAGAGCATCCCCTGCTTTGGGCTCAAAGTGTTGGGGTGTTGGGAAAGGGGACCTGGAGGGGAGGATGAGGGAGGAGGAGAAGAAGAGTGAAAAAGTCTTATAAGAACCCATGTTTCCCTCCCCAGAAAAAGAAAGCTCCTGCTGTGGAGGAGGGTGGGGATGGAAGTCCGAGGGGGTGGCTCCGGGCTTCCTGCTTAAACCCCGGGAACACCCGGAATCCCCTGCCTAAAAGGGCTTACAAATTCATTGTTTTTTAAAGCGTTAAAATTTTTTAAAGGGTTAGAATTTAAAAAGGGTTTAAATGGTGAAAAGGGTTTAAAACGAAAACAGGATTGGAATTTTAAAAGGGTTAAAATTATTTTTTTTTTTAAAAAGGGTTAAAAATCAAAAGGGTTCAGACAGCCCCGGGGGGCTGCCCTCCGAGTCCCGGCCGGGAATGTCGGCAGCCTACGTGATTCCCGGCGGGTTTCCTCCTGGTGGATGCGGGCGGCAGTGGCAGAAGCTCCGTCTAAGCCCCTCTTAGCCTGGTTTGCCCGTCGAAGCGTGTTCTCCTCTGCTGCCGCATCCCTCGCTGCCCCGGGGACGGGCGGCTGGGGCCGGAGGGGGCAGAGGATGGAGGAGATGGGACCCCCCCCCCCCGGTACCAGTGGTTGGTGCTGGGAGCTTCACGGCTTCTTCTCCCCATGTCCCACAAGGTCTTTGGTGACCCCACAGTCATGGTCGTGGCTTCGCACTTTGGGGCTGCCACAGGGGGTCCCCAGAGGGATTGGGGCTGGGGAGTGCAGGTGTTGTGTGTCCCCCAGCCCCACCCCAGCAGGTTAAAACCTTCTCCAGCTCATCAAGTTTCACATTTTTGAGGAGTGGTTTTGTGTTTGGTTTTTTTTTGCAAAAGGAATAGAAAATACAATTAATTTAAATTAAAATAAAATAAAAGCAAAACTGGCAGCTCCTGCATCTCTCCCAAGTCCCAGCAGAGGAGCGTGGGTCTCCCCCCGGGGGTGTGGGGCTGTCCCAAAACCCACTGCCTCCCCCATGCATGGCCAGCCCCTGGGGTGGCATCCTCTTGTCATGACCAAGAAAGGTCAAGGTGGGGAGTGGGCTGGGATTTGGGGGGGTGTGTGTGGAGGGGGGCTAGACGGAGCTGCGGCGCTTGGGGAGCCCCTGGAAAGCCGCCAGGGCGTGGCGGCCGGGGGCGACCGAAGG